GAGAGAGAGAGAGAGAGAGAGAGAGAGAGAGAGAGAGAGAGAGAGAGAGAGAGAGAGAGAGAGAGAATTGAGCTTCGTAGGTAGCGATGTCCGATACAATGTTATATCGTTTTTCTCACTAGTTTCCCTCTATCACTGCCTCTTCCGTCACCTTCCTGCTTGGCCATTCTAACCATGCTATGCGGGGAACTATGGCGTTCCCCTCTTCATCTCCTCTCTCTCTCTCTCTCTCTTTTGCATTAGCAAACGGGAAAACGCCATAGCTGTCTTTCTCGGAGTCCCCTGTTTCTGCTCCTCCATCCTTCGTCTCTGGGTACTGCAACTGTTTCCCTGCCTCCCATGCCCTCTTTTTTTCAGATCCCCATAGCCATGTCTGCTACCTCCTTCTCAGCTGCCTTCTTGCCTAAGCGTTTGCACTTATAGCATGGATGACAACGATGCTCTCTCCACCGTTTTCCCACCTCAACGATGCTCTCTCCTGCATTCTTTGATAAGAGCCATGGAATCATGGATGCCTCCCTTTGTCTCCCCTTTTCTCTCTCACCTTATTAATTTTTTTTACTATGTCGTTGAGGGCTACCGTCTTCCCGCGAACACAACGCACCCTCATTTTGGCTGTATCTGGCCGGAAACATAGCTTGTATACATTCATTTTTATTGTGCGTTATGTTCGGGGAAAGACGGTAGGCTCGGCTGGTACAATGCAGTGGGGCCTGATGCTCAGGGCTCCGGCTGATCCTTCACACAATGCAGTTGGTCCAATGTTATGCCAAATTAGCATGCACCTAGCTCTCTTTCCGACCACGTTCTTGGTTGCTAAGCACTGATGCAGCACATGGGGCCTGATGCTCAGCGCTCCAGCCGATCCTTCACAATGCAGTTGGTCGAAAATGTTATGCCAAATTAGCATGCACCTAGCTGCTTTTCCGACCATATTCTTGCTTACTAAGCACTGATACAGCACATTGTGGCCCTCCAGCTGATCCTTCACAGCACAGCGCTGTTGTCTGTGTATGTTATTTTGATCTCAGTTTGCTGTTCCATCTCCTCGAGTGGTCGTTTCTGTGCTTTCAAGGTCGGCAATAACTGTGTGCTTACCCCCCCCCCCCCCCGCCCCTCCCCCCTCCTCCTCCTCCTCCTCCTCCTCCTCCTCCTCCTTCAGCTTCCCATGTGCTCCTCCCTTCTTCCAGCCTGTCTAACGACATAGTATTTCCTGAGTGTATTTGGTCACAAATTCCCATGTGATCCTACTCCCTACTTCCGGCCTGTCTAAGAACATACAGTATTTCCTGAGTGCATCTGGCCATAAATTCAGTCAAAGGGTTTTTCTAGTATGAGAATCCTAGAGGCTGGGGTGAGGGCGGGTTAGGCAATAATAAGGATCAGAAAGACAAGTTGCTCTCCTGCTTTCGTCCAGCCTGTCTTACGACATACTTCCTGAGTGCATCTGGGCGAAAGTATGGCCATATTCAGTCAAAACGTTCTTAGTATGAGCATGCTGTAGTCTGGAGTGAATGGGTAAGTTGTGGATAAGAAAGATCAGTTTTGCATGCGGACATGCGGATACATTGCAGTTGGGGAGACAAGACTGAAGCACAGAACATGAAGCGCCAACAAATACTAGTACTACAACAAAGTGAGAGAAATAGGAGAGAGAGAGAGAGAGAGAGAGAGAGAGAGAGAGAGAGAGAGAGAGAGAGAGAGAGAGAGAGAGAGAGAGAGAGAGGAGATTGCGGCAAGAAAGACGTACACGTCTACAAGAGCACCAAAGCACTCTCCTCTACTCTTCTCGTCTGCTTTTCCCCTCTCCTCTTCTCTTCTCTTCTGCTCTCCTCTCCTCTCCTCTCCTCTCCTCTCCTCTTCTCCTCTTCTCCTCCTTTTTTCCTCTTTCCCTCTTTTCCTCTTTCCCTCTTTTCCTCGTCCCCCACTCGCGTCCTCTCCTCCTCCTGTCCTCGTCTCCTCCTCCTGTCCTCGTCTCCTCCTCCTGTCCTCATCTCCTCCTCCTGCTCTTCTTCTCCTCTTCTCCTCCTCTTTCCTCTTTCCCTCTTCTCCTCTTTCCCTCTTTTCCTCTTTTCCTCTTTTCCTCGTCCCCCATTCGCGTCCTCTCCTCCTCCTGTCCTCATCTCCTCCTCCTGATATTCACCCCCGAGAGTCCAGAATCAAATTTTTTTGATGCAGTGCAATGATTAACAATGAAATGAACGAGAATCAATATGCAAAGATCACCCTGGCACATCTACCGGTGAGAAACCAATCAACAATCAACTGCCGCCTTCACCTGAGTAGAACGCCCGGTAATTATTGCCGTTTCTGGACTGGAAGTTGCACCAGATACAACTATAATGACCAGTCGTTCTACTCGGGTGAAGACGGTACTCAGTACTGTACTCAACCTCTCTCATCATCTATTCCTCCTCTTCTCCTACATCCACTCCAACTCCATGTGCCTCTTCTCTCTTGCTCTGTCATACGGAGTGCAGCGCCATGCACTCGGATGAAGGTCGTGGCCGCCTTGTGCTTCTAGTATGGCCTTCCTACCCTCTTCACCCGAATAGAACGCCCGGTCATTATAGCCTGCATTTGATGCAACTTTCAGTCCAGATGCAGCAGTAAGTACCGGGCGTTCTATTCGGGTGAAGACGGTACTTCAAGTGCCCCTCCAGCTTGATGAAATATATGCAGTCAGCCATAGCTGCCAGTAACAAGGCCAATAGCTATGGCCAAATTCATACTTCAAGTGCCCCTCCTATAGATCCTATGGCCCAATAGCTTGATGAACTATGCAGTCGGCTATAGCCGCCATCCTCTCTCTCCACAAACTTCACAAAGACTGGAGCTCACATCTCTCGTCGGCTCTGCTGCACTATATCCGAACTCACAGGGACCCCCGGCTATGGTCTCTAGTTGAAGAGGAGAGGATGCTGCGCAGCCATAACCGCCTTGCCCACACAGCTCATACTCTACCAGCGAGCTCCCACCATAGCCAGGGAGCTCCTTCCTGCCTGCCAAGTCTTCTAGCTGCTTTTCCTAAGTATTGCCTAGTGCAGAATGAGCCAGAGGAGGTAGGAGGCTTGGCGGGTTGGACGATGTAGAGAGCGAGGGAGATTTACTGCATTCTCCATCAAGAGACCCTTAGGTAAGAACATACTCACACTACCGGTAGGACTTCCCTGGAAGTATCTGGCTGCAATTATGGCCGGTCTTGGATGCATCTGACTGCAAATTATGTCCAGAGAGGTCATTCGAAAAAGTCCTAGTATGTGCACGAACTAAGCATCACTCTTTCTTTGTTCCTTCCCAAGGACTGGAGATTTGGCCAAGCTCTCCAGCTCTCTCGACAATGAGTCGACATGGCCCCCTTTAGGGCCTCCTTTAGGGCCTACCCTGCCTCCCTCTAGAATTGACACAGGCAAACTTTTTGGGTTGGGTCAGACTTAGGGCTTTGGGTAGGAGCAGGATGACCTGTTTTTCAGCCCAAGGGCAAATCTTGGCAAACTTTTTGGGTTGGGTCATTTTATAATTGCCATGCACACACACCCACACACACCTATGAAGCGGAACACAAGGTTTCGAGTTTGTACATTTAACAGATATAGTTGTCGACAATGTGGAGTTGCCCTTCGGGACATCCCTTAAATTTTGAACAATACAGAGAAGATTAGCATCGCCCTCGTTCAAGGATGACACACATACATAGAGAAATGGTAGGGGGAAAAATAAAATAAAAGAAAAGAAAGGTAGTTGTGGAGTCCATCCCTCTTTGGAGAAGATAGATTCGAGTTGGTATCGAAGCCCACCGGCTGCAGGGCTGCTTTGGACTTTGTGGAAAATCCCTACGGGACCCCAAACTCTCGTGCCTTTTTACTTTAGACACGACTCGATCCCCTGCCTGTTGTGCAGCCTACCAGTCTCGATAATAATTTTCCTTGGCAAGCATGGAGGCGAGCATTGGATCAATAAAAAAACGTACAGGGGTTCAGATAATTATCCTTGGTACAGGGGTTCGGAGAGAAATAGGGTGGGGTACAGGGGTTCAGAGCGAAATAGGGTGGGGTACAGGGGTTCAAAGCGGAATAGGGGGAAGGGGGGGGGGGGGTGTTCCTAGCTGATGTGAAGAATGAACCCTGGTTGGTGTGTGGGTGTGTGGGGGTGGGAGTAAGAGCAAGGACTCTCCTTTGGGTAGACCACACCTGGGGTTAAAAATAACCATTAAAAATAACTCTATTCAGGTATGCAGGCGCACATTAGCGTCGAACATTTCTAGGAAAAGCCCAAGGAGAGGCCCACGGAGACAGGAAGCGGCCCAGCGGAAGCGCAAGGGATAGCTAGCCCAAAGGAGGAAATTTAAATGGGAAAGAAGCTACATTCCGCCCAGAGGTTTGTGGTTGGGAAAGCTCAAGGGGAGGCCTGAGCATAACTCAGTTAGTGGGTGACTGTGGGCATGTGGTGGATTAACCAAAAAAAAAGAGCATGATGGGACTTTGAAGCATGGGACACTGGACCCGTTTTCCAGTATATTATGACCCTAAAAGTATTCTGTGAAGGCCCTGAAAGGGGCTATCCATGGGATATTGGGAAGTGAGGATGTCCCTTGTACCTCTTTTATCTTCTTCTACTGCAGATGCTTCCCCCTTGTGATTCCGGGAGGGTTACCTTATTCATTCACCCACTACAAGGGGGGTTGGAGACCACGACGGGGGGGGCTTCTATTCCCCCTACTTGGTGATGCGCCGCAACCTTGGTGTTATGATTAGAAAGTAGAAACACATGAAAACTCTTCGGGAATTCAAATTTCAAACCTACTGGTAGCTTCCGTGAGCACGGTTTTTTTTTGACAAACTCTTCGCGAGTCCAATCCTACCTAGCTTCTGCGACTACGAGTTTTCAACATCGCACTCGTAGCGAACAATGAACTACACTGCAGCTATTGGGAATGGACTGCAGCAGGCTCAGTATATATATTGCCACAGCCCCTCCTTTCTTTCCCTTTCTTATTTCTTTCTTTTTTGTCTTTGCGAGCCACCGCCTCCCAATGTGGAACGGCATCTGTATATTGCGGGCCCTCTGTTGTGGTTCCGTTTATCTTGACTCTTGATTACATTTAGAGGTTGTGTTCATGTTTTGTGATTGCCTGTTAGGGTGTGACCTGCGAAGGAACATGGTGCTGTGACATTCTTCTCCCTTCTCAATGGTGTCCAGGATTGTTGTGATGGCGGTCACCGCAAGGACATGGGTTGTCC